TATCTTGTCCCTTCAGTAACATGTTTAATTAATCCCTAACACGCTAGTATGCAAATTGTGTATGCAAATTAACATGGACTATTTCAAATTATAGTCATAGCTAACCTAGTCCATAATATTGTCCGATATATATTCTTGTTACAATAAACTTTAAATTTAAATTGTATATTGAATATATAATTGCGTTATTAGTGGGTAAATGTCTGGTGTGATACCGTTCCTTATGGCACGAGCAGCTACTGGTTAAACTAATTACACGCTATTTTAATTAGTTTTCACTTAAGATAAGCACCTTATCATCTTGATGGGAAACTTTTCAAACCTACAAATTAGTTTTTTTGTGTTGGGCTTAAGGCCTCAACTGCATGTGGGGTTATTAAAGCTGTGACACTAGCTGACTAGCCAGCAAGTCTACCTTAGCCCAGAACATAGTCCACGACTGAAGTAAACTCAGTATACACATAAATATTAAATTAATGTAGACATACTCGCCGAGGTCTGATCAAGACCTTTTGTGCCTTCTGTAATTCTTTTTTTGCGCTACCGCTCACAGGACGTGCATGGGGTGCACAATGAACTAGCGGCGGCCACACCCGATTGATTGATGAAGATTAAGCCACCCAAAAGGTAGCATGAATAGCCCGCAAGTGGTGGCCCTTTTGAGCCATTACCAGTATCAAGAGCTGATACTGGAGATCTGTGGAGGGGCCACACGCATTAGATCAGTGCATATATACACAGCCCAATGGGGGCGCCACAAGATTGATTGATGAAGATTAAGCCACCCAAGAGGTGGCACGGGCATGAATAACCCGTAAGGCGGGTCCCAACTCTCCCTAAAAGATCAGCGAGGACGACCTGACCTTACTCCAAGAGTGTGGTGACCTGCGTTGATGTCGCCTAGTAGTATCAGCGTTTCTTTTTTATTTATTTTAGACGTAGCAGAAAAATGGATAAGAAATGAGGCGTAACGCGTGCCGATGAACATAGCTATGACTGAAGGTTACATTAGCTTAGTATTTACAATCTTGTAAAGCCACTAGTACGCGCAGCGTTTCGGGCAGGTCATTAATCTAACAGATAATTTTAAGTAGGTAGATTCTAGCAGAATTAATAAAATGATAACAGATACATTGCAAGAAAAAAATGACTCACAAGGAGTCTGACTCAAAATGACTCACATTACTCACAAGGTCACTTACATTTCTTCTGCCCTCCATGGACAGAGTTAGAGGTCTGTTAGGCAACATATATAATTAAAGTAGGTGGCGAACACGGAACAGTCTTACACACAGAAATCACAATAGCGTGATACATAAACAAATCCACAAGGGCCGTGAATGAACAAATATGACCATGTCGTGGCTCAGTCGACTATAAGGCGCGTCTGGGATCATCTCGGACGTAGGTTCGAACCCTCATCATGGCCCTTGTGGATTAAAACAGTCTTATGTTTCAATCATTTTCACATCCGGATGTTAAACAGGAAGACAACATACCTTGTAGCAGAGTGAAATGGTATTAATGTAACCGACATCTGTCCGTTGATGAAGTATATTCCAGGTGGGGCCTACGGGGTATTCATGCCCGTGCTGCCTCTTGTGGGTGACTTACTCTTCAACACGAGGCATCAAGAGGGGCAGCAGCACAGCCGCTCCTCGCTCACCTCAACACGACACTGACCAACATGGCCAACATGGCCGCCCAGCAAAGTTCGTCTTTGATGGATTACAAATTAATTACAAATTTCCTATGTATTTGTATATATTTCCTACATATTTGTATATCTTAAATTTTGTGTATAAATAATGCCGTGATTCGAAGCTCCATGTGGGCATCTTTGATGACTATTCGATTTTTTTTTCTGGCAATGTATCTGTTATCATTTTATTAATTCTGCTAGAATTTACCTACTTAAAATTATCTGTTAGATTAAGGACCTGCCCGAAACGCTGCGCGTACTAGTGGCTTTACAAGATTGTAAATACCATGCTATGTATTCTCACAAACCCAATGTACCTTCTTGTATATAAATAAATAAATGAACTATGTGATTTTCTCGACTATTGCTTCGATTGTTAACGTCTCCTTGGCTGCTCTTGTCGTAACTACGTAAAGGCTTTATTTACGTACCGCAAATGAGCCCGTCCTCTAAGGTCCAATCTCCAGTCACTCGTGTTCTAGAGTATATCCTCATGCTATTAGACCAAATTTCCAAACACGGGCTATATTGACCACATGCCACTGTATGACTAAGCATCCTGCTAGATAAGGATTTCTTAGCATTTCATTGCTAGCTCTTGACACACACTCTATGTGACTCTTCATATAGCCTAGGGTTGTTGTATAAATGCAGCAGATCATCACATACTCACGAACATTCACTGAAATGTACAACCGGGACAAAGGGTTCCAGTATAAGAATGTACAAGAATGTAACAACTCTTGTATATATCTCAAAAAAAAGTAGCACAGTCGGGTTTTTTCTAGATTCACAATCGAGAATTCCAGGCGGAACAGAAATGGTTGGGCACGTTTCCGATCACTTAGTAAACCTATTCACCTAGCTGGAAATAGGTACCCAGGAGTTAGTCTTAGGCTTCTGTTGCATGCTATGGAGGGTCAGTATTTAGACCCTGAAGGTTGGGGGGGCGGGGGCGGCCTAGATATAAACCTAACGTGTACTGTATATATATATATATTGGCTGCCTGTCCCCCCCGACACGGTAAATTATTAATGATAGCAAGAGCCCCATAGCCTGAACTCAGAATACTTGTGCCGGCAGCTATCACTGGTCGATATCGCCGGGTACAAGGGCATGTATATATAGGCTCATCGTCAACTTTCTTCACGCCTAGATGAATTGAATTTGGATCCTCTTTGATGAATTTAGTTCTCAAAGTCCTGAGTGATCACTTTCAGGCACCAAAGTCTTGTGACTTAGTCAGCATGTAGTGGTAAGAGACACCTTATGTTCCCTGCTGTAGAGGCGAAGTTGGCAGAGGTAGAGACGGAGTGTGATACGCCCTTGTGGCCAAGAGTTAAGACACGCTTATGAACGATAGTAATTATGAAGTTTTGGTAATTATGGTGGTCCAAACTGATCCCGTGACTTATATTATTGTTCTTAACTAGACCACAGACGAACGACGAAGTATGAGGCTATCCAGTCAGCATCAACCACAAATGGTATTCAATTCATCTTTAGCTTCACTCAAAAAGGACAATAAAACGGATAAGCCGCAAAGTAAAGTTTATAGATTTTGGCAAGGTTTCCACTAGTTTTAATTGGCTATGAATGTTGAGGCGTAATATAAACACGGCTCTAAAACTTTCGGAACAGCTCGTCAGAATTCGTACCAATTGGAACAGGGGAAATTGTACAGTAATGTTATTGGTCGGATTTAGGGAAGTACTGGTTAGGTAATAGAGTCGTGGATGAGTGAAATTGGTTGCTAGCATGCAAGCATCATTGAGACAAACAGTTTAGCAGATTTAATAAATAGATTTGTATATATCTCAATATATTTGATTTGATTTGTATATATATTGTATATATCTCAAATTTGTTAAGCTCAATGAAGATGGAAAAGAGGGGGGGGGGGTATAATTTAAGCAGGACCTGCCTAGTCAGCAGCAGTGTTTTAAACCATATATATTAAACTTTTTTTTTAACATGGGATCTGTCCCTCGTGTTAGGGTTTAAGCCTGGGGCCAGGTACTGGAACTAGTTAGACTATTCAGTTGTAATGTGCATGTATTCACCTAGTTGTGTTTACAGGCCCAAGCAAGGTAATGTACCCTGCATCTCCATCTGATAGTCTGTTCATGCAATAACTTTCATTCCTTATGTTTATCATCATATTTCCATTTGAGACTGCTTATTGAATCTCTGGAGGAGGGTAGAAATAGCCTAAGCTACTCTATCCCTTTGAGATGTATTTCTTTCTTGTCTCAATAAACATACTTGAACTTAAACTTGAATTGAATCTCTGACAATTTCCTCTTGTCCCATTACTTTCCTCATTAGTACAGTAGGACATAGGAGGAAGCCTTCACCGTACATATTAAATTTTCTCCAAATTTAACAAGCAGAGGACTCCAGACGATAGTAAGGTAGGCACAAAACAATGGAACACATTACCTCAATGTTGAAGTCTTAATTAGAGGTCAGATGCCTCTTGAGGGTTATCTTGAGATGATTTCAGGGCTTAGTGTCCCCGTGGCCCAGTCCTCGATCAGGCCTCCATCTTAACGACTCAACTTTCCAACATAAAACGAAACATGGGAGTATTAGAATGTCATAGGACTGTCAGGGTCAGCCCAAGTCCCACTAAGAAATACTGGCATCTGTAGAAACTCCCAGTAATTTTTACATCTTGTAAATTAAATTGGGCCTTTTTTCCATATTTTTATACTTCGGCCATTTATCCACACTTTCATTGTTTACTTGAAAACATTGAACATGAACTTATTTAGGCTATAGTATTACATTTAAATTCTCCCTCTCCCTCTGAAAAAGATAGAGTATTCTGCCAATCTCTCCTCTGTGTCTCAGAAAGAGGCACAGAGGAGAGACTGGAAGATAGAGCAGAAAAGGGAAGAGATAGGAAAAAAGGGGGAAGCAAGACCCAGACACTGCCTGGTACCTCATAGTACAATATACTGTATATGATTTTATTTATATATACAGGAGAGTACAGGAACAAACTACAGTACTTCCAACTGAGCTTAGCAGGCTGAGAACTTTCCCTTCCCATAACTCATGGTAAGCCTTACCCACAAATTTTCCCTGGGACACAACCTGCCAATTGGTAAACAACCAGGTCCCCAATTACTACAGTGTGATCGGAGGAAAACAGTTAAGGTCTGGCGCCTAGTCGATCCTCCCTGACCAGGACTCGAACCAGACCAAATCACTTGCAAGACATGGAGTGTATTACAACTATGCTCTAGGTGGTACCAGAGTTCTTCTTACTGTAGGAATAAAACACAACCATATAAATTTATTTTATTAAGAATACAATCTAACCTAAAAGTGAATACAAAACTTTCTCTGAAGCTATAAAGAATATCTTTATTATATCACCATTCTTCTATATCCTCCTCAGTCTTTGGCTATTATTGCTATATAATATGCCTAGTTACACAAAGATTAGCCAAACCTACACACACATTTAAATCTACCAAATGTGACAGTGATCATTTGCAATCCACTAAGAAATGTTATATGCAACATCCACACAAATGTTAGGAGATAATGCTCTTATTTATTTTTTTAACTAAGTATCCTTTTAGGAAATAAATGAATCAAATCAGGAAATCTGAACCATTTCAATGGTTTTACCTATAAACTCTATGAACACATTTAGATACATCACTTTGATGTGAATATTTTAAGTACTGTATTGTATAAATCCCAAAGACTCATTTCTTATCAGCATTTAAGTACAACATCAGTCATCAAATCATAAAAGTCAACATGGCACATAAATTTAGATTTAAAAAAAATATGGAGAATAGCATCACTTAGCTACTTTGGTTTACTAACCATGACACTTTACAGAAATCTTGCATGCAATGGCCAGGTCCTAAAGAAAATGAATGCTGAAATCCAGAGATATTTTCACTCATAAGTGGTTGCAGTAAGTTTAAAAGTTCCTAGGAAAGTTTGTTTTCTAAGAGTAACTCCTACTTGAAAGGCAGCATAAGTATAATGACCAGACCACATATCATAAAATAAAGAAAACAACGTTTTGGTCCATCCTGGACCACCACGTTGTGGTCGGCTTGACGATGATCCAGGATAAACCGAAACATTGTCGTTTCCTCACTTTCTGATGTGTGGTTTGGTCATCACCTCTTCAGCTACTTTATTTTGACTCATCGTCTGCAGCACATGTAGCAGTCCAGACATATATAATGTATAAACATAACAATTCCAGCTGTTAAAATCATTTATTCTATTAAAGAGTCGTAATGTCCACATAGTTACACAGTTGTTAGCAGTAAATGAGAGTGCAAAATGGACAGTTCTTTTTTTAAAATAGTAATAAGAAAAAAATCAAACCTTTGTGAACCAGTCACCCAAATGGTCCATGCAAGTGCTCCAGAACTAGCTAAAGTATCTAGTTCTTGATACTTTCTTGGTAATTCTTCACTTTCATAAAGTGAAGAAATTAAGACTGTAGTGGGAGTAATGCAGCTGATGATGCAACCAGTCCCCTCAACTATTACTTTACATTTTTGTATCAATTCGATCATTGTCAAAAAGTGATGCATTAGTAAAATTGCCTATATTGCAGTCTTAAAGGGACTGTAATATTGATGTTTCCCTATACATCTACCACAATAGGTTAAGTGGGGTGCTTGAGCTCATAATTTCTGGTTAGGCAGAACAGGTGCACTTTTTTTTTAAGGAGAGGTGAATGGAGAGAATGGGCTGGGCAATGAATCATCAGGGTTAACTTGCAAGCTTTTAACTTGCTGTTATAACACAAACAGTACTTAACTCCACGGTGGACTCGAGTGTTAACTCTTCTTAAGAGAATCCTATATCGTTTATAATGTTATCATGTATACTTAACAAATTTGGGATCATATTCAATTACAGATAGTATAAATATGGTATTTTATCATCATAAACATATCTTTTTACAAACAAGTCAAACTTGCACACCAAGTAAATAAGGGGACAAAAGTATGTGGGCACATTATTTATTATCAATGGTCAAGGTTATATTTAAGGATAAAACTTAATAAGCTTCAAGAGTCACTAACTTTTAAGTTTTACCGAACTGATTTTCTTTAGGTTAATACACAAAAATATTTAGAAACTAAGCAAAATACACATGTATAGTTAAAGTTTCACCTTATTACCTACCCCATTACACAAACGTGTGTGGTGAAGTAGACTAGCCACGGTGCCATAACAATGAAGACTGGAAATCAAATATCCTAGAAATAAAACTCAAAATTATCCGACTAACACAAAGTAATAACTTGACCAACCTCTCACAAATTTGCCATGCTGCATATTATTATTATTATGTATCAGTCTACCTTGACCATAATCTTCCAATATATTTCTGCTCCATTAGTAGTGAAATGTATATAAACTTGTGTGTGCTCTGTGAATCTTTTCAACATGTTGCAAGGTATCTCGAGTCATAAGATTAATGCCTATGGTCACTGTTACATGACATTTCACATACAGACAAAAATATAGCAGCTGCCAAATATAAAATTCAATTGAATACAAAAAGTGCTACTGTATTATGAAAGTTGTAGAGCTCTAGCCTGCCACTTGCACCACAATTATCTGCATTTCTGATGAGCAGGATTGATGAAATGTCATTCCAATCCTACGTTGTCTATAATTACCCAAGTGTAGTTACAGAACGAGAACTATGCTCATGGTGTCCCATCTTCCGAGTATTCTTTATCACATGATGTTTTGAAACTACAGTACAGTACCTGTGTAAAAACTCGCTAATCTGGACCCCGTTAATCCCAGACTTTGAGTAATCCGGAAAAAATTGAGCGAGTTTTGTCTGCCAAACTTTGCCTAACTTGGACAGCGTTTTTTCATATTTGGCAAGTCACACGAAAACCTTAGCAGCTCTCTCCCCCCCCCCCCCTGCTCTCGCTTGCTTTCTCTCCTCCCTTAAGTTGCCTATGCAGAACTGTCTATCTTGAGTAATTATTTACATCCTTGTATGATGGATCGAGTGTTAATATATGAAAATAGCAAAGAACCCTGGTTATTACAAGAATGGGTGATAGCAGCCCCTCTCATCATTACACCATCGAACTGTCTACCACTCTGTTAAGGAGAACTTCCTAATTTTTTGGAGGGGCATCTTTGTTTCCTTAGCTTGAATCTATGACCTCTTGTTTTCGTAGTTGCTGTTTTCAAGAATTTCTCTCTCAACTTTATCGATTCCTGTTGACATTTTGTAGATGGTGATATCTTTTTCGTTGTTTTTTTCTCCCCTATCTTCCAGCTTGGACAAATTCGTCACCTCTAGCCTATCTTAATTTTTTTGTTTCAGTTCTGGAATTCATTTATTAGCATTTCATTCACCTGGACACTAGGAGACTAGGAGGCTCTATCGACCGAGCTATTGAGTAGTCTTAATAAGAAAATATTCCAGAAGCAACTACTGCTGCCAAACTGTAATTTCAGACTTTCCCTGACTAGTAGGTCAGGGACATGCTCATTTAGGAGCATGTCATTGCCCCTTTTCCAGTTTCGTGATGTATGGTGCCCGTATCTCAAGAAGTTGTACTGTACAACCATTGCATATTCCAATTTTGGTGTCCGTGTGTGTGAAATGCATTCACACGCACACACACACACACACTGAATATTTAATAAAAACAAGTGACGACATTTTTCTCGGTCTTGTTCATGACACTATGACAATGGAAACATGTTGCTCTATTTTTTCAGTAGGAACAATGTTGCAGTTTACATAACCATTACATTGTAACAGTTCCTAGCAAAATGTTTCCAAACATTAGTATAAATACTTCAAATGTTATATAGGTGAGGTAAAAATCCTACATGTTAATTCAAATAAAAACAATAACATAACAATCACTAGACCAACATATTGCAATTCATGACTGACTATACAGAAGATCATAACTTTCAGATTAAAAAGCAAAGTACTCTAATAAATTTTTTTCCATGTAGCTGTGAGCTCTAGTTATAATTACTTACCTATCAGACACTTTTGTGCTATAGGGCTAGAGACAAGCATGCAAGACTAAAATAAATGGACCTTCCTAAGCCACTATATAAGAGGTTGAGATAATCAAAATCCTTCAATAAAAATATAGACATTTCCAATGTCTATCTAGCATCAAATGGCAAAGATAATAACAAGCTGCACTTTTAATTACCACTTGGTTATGACCATTTATAGTTATACTTAACCTGTAAATACAAGGGAAAAATAAACTTTTTCCAAGAAAGTAATTGTGCTGGATCCAAAGGAACTAAGCCAGCGCTCTTATCCTACCAGAAGTAAAGAAACACCCTCTAGAGAGAGAATAGTCCAGATTGCCCAAGACCCTGCCAAGACACATTCATTTAAACTATGGTAGTATCATTCACCACGTATACACATACATATATACACAGTACATACATACACACACACACACACACACACACACACAATCTGGCATACCCAAGACTGCTTAGACACAAGCATTCATATGGAGATTCACTATGTAAACAAACGTCATACAACTTTATTTTTTTTTATTATAGAAATATCCATAAACCACCAAAATGAAATGCTAATAAAACCTTGCACAATGTCAGCCATACATTCATGAATGATAGTTGGTTAATAAGAATGTGGTACAGGGACTGGTACTGGTACTTTTACTGTTACCAATACTGTACTTGTAATGGCACTGTACTGGCACTAGCCCTTGTATTAACAATGTTACTTGTATTGGTATTGGTTTTAGTACTGGTACTTGTAATGCTACTAGTACTTATATACACAGCTGTGCAAACTTCAACAACAGCTTCACACTACTCTGAACATAGGATATAAATAACATATGTACACAACACATGGAAAAATAAAAACTACACCCGATTAATCTCAAGTCAAACTTCAGCTTTATAACTTGCTATACATACTACATTAAAATCAATACAATTAAATTTAAATAAAATATGTTAAAAGTACTAATATTTTCTGGAGGAATTTGCAAGCACTACACCTGCAAAATACTTTGAAATACACTAAATAAACTATTGATACAGCATTTTTTCTGTCAATAAAGTTCATTTGTAAAACTTTCTTAAAATGGTCTGTATTGCAAAAATATTTACTTGCAGAGTTTACTCCAGCCTTAACACACGCTCCACACTGCAACTCACGGCAAAAAACTGCACTAGATATAAAATATTACTTTATATTTATTAGCAGTACATTTACAAAAACAAAGCTAAAAATGATGGAAATGAAGAAGAAATCAAAGCACACAGTACAAAATAAGTCAACCGAACCCCAAGTTTGGACAAAAATCTTTATGTAAATTCACATCTTTGTGTCCAGCCATGATTAGGGGCTCCAAGATGAAGAAGGCCAACCATGTTATCTTTCCCTGCAGTTATAAGGTCTGCATCAAGTTAAGGAAATTGCGGTCAAAGTGCAAAGCTACTCCGCTGTGCATCGCTACTGTGCAAAGCGATGCACAGCGTCAGTCATAAAAAATTCACGGCTGAAAGAAAATTGATTGTCAAAGTTCAGCGTAGCATCATTTTTAGATCTACACATTATATTTCAGCATTTCAAGCTTAATTTTTTACATCAAAATATATTTAAACATTGACAAACGGGTTGGTAATACATGGAAAATGGCATGTCTTTCAAAGCATGAAATGAATCAATTATAACAAATTATAAAGGCAAATGGAAAGTAGAAAAAGACAAAAACATAAAACAAGAAGAGTGCAAGACATTAAATAGGAATATCAAGAAAACAACTTAGTTTTCAACTGCTCTTCTGTTTTCACTAAGCATCAATAATGGGAACCATAAGCATCTATTTTAAATATTCAATGCACTAAAGGCATAAAGGTAAGGTAATTATCAAAAGAAGGCACCAAACTTTTGAAGGCTATATAGCACCATCAAAGTGCTAAAGGCATAAATAAATTTGCAATTGTATAAACATCACTACACAGTAATACTGTACACAAATTTATTACAAATTTATTAGACAATTAGGGGTGCCACGACATGGATGTCGTGGCCTAGTCGTCTAGAGCGTGTGTGTGGGAACACCCACCGCATAGGTTCGAATCCTCATCACGACTCCTAAGGATTTTCTCATTTATATATCATCACGTTAGTGTGATTACTCTCCTAGTATTATAATTCATAATAATTCATTTTGTAGGAACAAGAAGCCTGTGTGTGTATATATATATACAGGTATATACATTAGGCTTGTATTGAGGTCTCCCACTTTTCCCCAAGGTCAAACTACTGACAGATGCAACCCCATAACAGTTGCCTAACTCCCAGGTAACTATTTACTGTCAGGTGAACAGGTGAACACAGGCATTAGGTAATTGGAAACATATGGCTGTTTGAACTACTGACTGACTACTTCCCAAGATACAATCCCACAACAGTTAGCTAATGCTTGGATTACCTATTTACTGATAGGTGAATAGAGCCATTAGGCAAGGGCATTAAACCTGGAAGAGCGCCTGACAGCTGGATGGACAGCGCTTCGGATTCGTAGTCCTGAGGTACCAGGTTCGATCCCCAGTGGAGGCGGAGACAAATGAGCAAAATGTTTCTTTCACCCTGATGCTCCTGTTACCTAGCAGTAAATAGGTACCTGGGGGGTTAGACAGCTGCTACAGGCTGCTTCCTGAGGGGTGTGTAACAAAAAGAAGGCCTGGTGGAGGACCGGGCCGCAGGGACGCTAAGCCCCGAAATCATCTCAAGATAACCTCAAGATCAAGAAGGGGAAATATATGGATGTCTGTACCCTATGAATCCCTGTTGCAGGCGTTACAGGAAACCTAAAGCCGACCTAACCACCTGAATACCACTGGCGCCTACCACAAAATAGCAACCTGGAAGAACTAGGTAATTTAACTGAGCAAAGTCTCTCTGGAGCAAATGATATACACCAGAGTAGGAATCCTGTACCAGGGTATTTGATCCAACTTCTTGGTGGAAAGCATGAGATCATAGCCAATAGCAAATCCACCTCATGAAGAACTTGCTCGACTTCATCAGAAAATAGTACAGTAATTCATAAAAGTTAAACCAAAGGTAAAGTATAATCATGAACACCTGGAAGAGGTGCAACAGTAATTTATAGCATATTAAGTGCTCCTTCCACATAGAAGTCCCACACTGCACTCCTGACATTTGGGCATGTGTGTAGAAACTGTTGTGTAGCTATGATTATTTGTTTTCAAAAAGTCCTCCAAGGTGTACCATCCCCTATCCCCATGATTATTTTTAAAATTTTAAAATTTGTCACTAAGAGCCTACATGGTTCAATAACAATAGGGATCATCCTTGCTAGTATGTGAAAGTGTTCTCTAGCTGTTGCATGCAAACCTTGGACACCCAACAATATTTAGACTTGCTCTGTAAACCAATTTAGCCTTAATAATACAAAGCATTTTCATTGTACAGTATTTAAAGAATGCCAAATGAATGTCATAACTCTGATGTCATAGAATAACACTCAACTTTCTCCGATTAAACATGTACTAAAGTTAAATTCTAAAAATAAATTAAAAGGATACATTCATTGTATGGTGAAAGATCTAAATCCAAAATTGGAGCGGTGTGAGTGAAGACTTGACCAACGACCTGATGCCGCTCAGGATACCGACGATACCGGTACACAGTTTTACCTGCAACAGTGAATATTTAAGGTCATTAATAATATATCATTGAATTCATCATAATCACATAGGGAGGTACCAAGCTATTAAAAAAAAGAGAAAATGGGTATGCAGCTTAATCACCTTTCCTTTATTGCAAGAAAGAAGATCCAATCCTTCCTTTCTGAAAGGTATGAATCTTGTAATTGCTGGATTTCTGCCTCCTGTTGATCACAATACATTATACACAGTTGCCAGAGGCCTATTCTAGAGCCCATGCTATTTGCAAATTTGAGTCATACAGTATGACCAAGATGAATTGCCATTATCTTATGCTGAGAGATATGCCAAAAGAAAATTCTAGTGGATTGCCCTGCAAGATTCAGATATTTTAGAGTTTATATCCAAAGTCCTGATTTGCTGTGGTGAAATTAGTTTTTTTTTATCATATACAGTACAGTAATTTCCAGCAAAATGTGTTTCCCAAAATATTGTGCTTTCATTAGTAATTATTATTTTAAATAATGTATTTGTAATTCAGAAATGTTTTACTGTACTTTTAATTTATTATAAATGGTATAGAAGTTTGTTTATATTACTCTTTTCTGTGGCATCAAGTAAACCCATTGTTAGTGCACAAGAACCAACCATACGTGTCTCAGAGTGTCAAGGTGTGATAGAAACTGACGATGTTTTCAAAACCGATGATGTTCTGGCCCATCCTAGACCTTTTCTAAGGTGAAACTGGACAACTTGATAAGGGTTCAAAAGATCCAAAACAACAACACATTTATTTCATATGTGTGTGTTAAGTTATTTGCTTTCAGCCACATTGTAATATTCTATGCATATATAAACTATTAATTAGCATAAGACATCACACAAACCTTCTATTAATCCTTCCTTTAACTAGAAGCATATACTATATACTGTATATTCAATACTTAAACAATCTCCTAAAAAATAAATTTACGCATAACATCCACGAGGGAAATATGCAATATGAGCAAAAACCACATGACCCACCTTGAGCTGTATAGAGTACACCCCCACTGAGAGTGTACCGCATGCGGGCTACCCGGCCAGGGTTCACTTTCTGGGTCTCCCACTTCCATGGACGCTCACCAACACACCAACACACCAAACCTTCACCTGTGCTGGCCATCATTACACCTGCAACACAAATATACACTTCAGATGTGCACAATAAAACATTCAATGTCACTATCGTGCTAAGGCATGGAATGAGCTAATAATTCTTAATTGGCAGCTAAATAAAGACTTAGTTTTTTCAGAAAACACAAATTTTGAAATAAACTTACTAGGATATCCATTGGCTACTGAAGCGTTGTAGCCTTCTGGGGAAGGATACAAGCAAGAGATTGGGGGCTGTTCAGTGAAGGAACAAAGGGAACGTCCATCCATACTGTTCACCTTCACTTCCCCTAAAGCTGATCCAGACACAAGGACAGCCTTGCCAGACCCCCACGGCCACGACCCATCTAGGAAGCACATGTCATTGATGCTATCCTCGTGTAACTGAGAGGAGATTATTGAATGTAACCACTTGTAGCTAAAAACAGAAAATATTGAAGCCGCACAATGGGAATGAACACACATTCCTGAACGCCTCATTGTATTGCTTCAATATTTTTTCAAAGATATATTACTGTATATTCTTGCAATTTCATTGTGTAAAAACTTAATAATTGTTACATTTTTATTATAAAAGTTATCTAATCTACTTTCCTTTGCAATAACAGAATACTGTAACTAGATCAGTGTTTGTTAACTGGTGGGTTGTGAGCAGGTTTCCAGGGAAGGGGTCGCAAACTATCTGTGCTGAGCCACTGAATTTTTTTTCCAGTCTGGAGTCAAGTCGGCCAAAAGGTGACCATGTTGCTTGTGGCACAAACCCTGATAACCTTTACCAAAAATTAATCCAAAGAAAAGAGTATTTAAGCTGTCATATTTTACAAGGTATCCTAAAGGTCATAATATTGTCAAATGTATGTACATTGCTACCTTTTCACTTGTTCAAAACCCAATTCTGAGCCAAACTGATGCTGTAAAAAACAATGTTCAAGAAAAGCACATGTTGTTGCATTGAAAGAGCAATGTCAAAATGCTCCATAAATCCTAATACTATGTGAGATAAATCAATTTTTGGTTGAAGATGAGGCAAATATTAAACAATTGCAAGATACAGTAATTACAGCACACAAGATGTAGTAATGATCCCAACAACTATCTGAACTATCAAAACTAATATTAGAAATAGGGTGATGTTGAGATTGAGCTACAGTACTAAACTATGCATTTTTTCTTTCAGATCCCTTCCAATCATGATTCCCCGATCATTTTTGCAATCAAATGTGGCACTTTCTAAATGGCTTAGACAATATCTGGAACCTCTGTTTTCACATTCCAGCAACATGAGCCTACACTAATCAACATTAAACAGCATTTACCAACTTTTTCATATATTGTATATCCTTATGGCTTTCTGTAGCGTCCCAGTGTGTTTGAATTTATTGTCCGCATCACTTTAGTCATCGACATATTTACTTCTATTACTGCTCAGTCCTGTATCTAATTTATGTGCATTGTAAACAACAAAGGGTCTAAGACACAGACCTAGGGTACTCCACTTATAACAGTTCTCCCACTCATTTAACTTACAATAACCCTGCTTTCTGCCAATGTAATCTAATTTTTATATTCTTATCTCGTTTAGAACAGTACTGAATTAAAAGCCTTACTCTACCCTAGGTATATAACCTCAATTTCCATTGTTGGGAGTAGGAAGCCTGTACACCAAAGGTCCTTCCCCACCTTCCCCAGGCCAACTACTGTACGGGTCTTCCCCACGATGCAACCCTCAACAATAATATTGTAATCATTACTATTGTTCATTGCTATAAATGTGTTTGAGAAAAACATGAGTTGAACACAAGTGCTGTTTTGTAAAGCCATGATGTTAGCCTTTTAATATTCTGTGCTTTTTTTGAGGCATATCCAAACAGCATTTATCATTTCTTAAACAAATTTGTCAACAACCGACAATGAACTATGTAACTGTATTTAATCCCCTTTTTAAACATTTGTACTCACCTAGTTGTGCTTGCAGGGGTTGAGCTTTGGCTCTTTGGTCCCACCGCTCAACTGTCAATCAACTGATTTACAGATTCCTGAGCCTACTGGGCTCTATCATATCTACATTTGAAACTGTGTATGGAGTCAGCCTCCACCACATCACAGCCTAATGCATTCCATCTGTTAACTACTCTGACACTGAAAAAGTTCTGTCTAACGTCCCTGTGGCTCATTTGGGTACCAGGTTTCCACCTGTGTCCCCTTGTTCGTGTACCACCCGTGCATAGTTATGTGGTACTAAATATGCAACCTTCTATAATTCTGGCACATAATTGTGTCATTACTGCCAGTATAGTTATTTTGAAACAAGCTGTACATTAATCATACAGTGAAATCTCACTCGAATGGACCAATTTGTACCCAACCACTTCCTGTACAAAACAATTTCAGCTGCATTTGAACTTTGCTATTTTTGCCTACTTTCTACACAAATTAATACATTTATATTAGTGCAAACAATACAATATACTTTTCAAACATTTCAGTATAAAATACTGTAATTAGGAAATGGTAAATATTTAAATATTTTGATTTTTTTTTTTTTACATTTAATGGCACAGAATTCAAGTTTAGGGAATGTGTGATCCCATTCCACCTGAATCTTTCATTATTTTATGTTGAAACTTATTGCAATGATCTTATAACCTGAACAAATCCCCCGCATTTCATCCAGACTTCTGGCAGACCAGGGCCCAGATTCATGAAGCAGTTACACAAGCACTTACGAACGTGTACATCTTTCCTCAATCTTCGAAGGCTTTGGTTACATTTATTAAACAGTTTACAAGCATGAAAATTTCCCACTCAACTGTTGTTGTTATAATAAACAGCCTCCTGGTGCTTCCGAGCTCATTAGCCGTTTAATAATTGTAAACAAAGCCACCAAAGATAGAGTAAAGATGTACAGGTTCATAAGTACCTGCGTAACTGCTTCGTGAATCTGGCCCCAGGTTCTGTTCAAGCGGGACTCCATTCTAAACAAGACATACCAAGAGAAAATTCATAAGCTTAAAAAGTATCTTTTTATCTTTATTATTATCTTTAGTGACAATCATAATGGCTGAACACATGCTATAATCTTTAAGGTATACTTTCGTCTAATTTTAATTCTTTCATGAAATAACAAGCCATACCTTCAGTTGCTGCTCTATTGTTTTCCTTTATCCTCCAAAGTCCTCTTAAACAAATATATAAAGAAAATCATAATATTGTACAGTACTGTATACCAACAGGAGAAATTATCTCTACCAATGAGCATTTGTACCGAAGGAAGAACACAACATTTTTGTCTCTTTGTGCAAGAGGTTGTGTGTGCACTTCTCAGTATCAACACTATTACACTTGTTGCTGCTGATCTCTAAACCATTCAAACGGTGCTCTACACAAATATTTTGTTAGATTGCTTATTACCTCCATCAGAGAGAAAATTAAGCACAGCTAACGACACATACCTGTGGATAATAATGGTAATTGTCAGGAGAAAATGATAAGCCTTTATGACTATATAGCACATGGGAGAAATATGAGGATTTGAGCTGGGATAGGAAGGCGGGGTGAAGTAGCGGGCCCCAATCACTTGGACCATCAGGGGATTGAATGCCGACCTGCAAGAAGCAAGGCCGTTGCTGCACCTATCAGTCCAAGTGGATGGACTTGAATATCTGTGAAGTAAATGGTTATACAAAACATTTGTAATAGCTTACAAAAGAAGTACTGTACTGTACTGTACTGTAATTCCAAATGATACTAATACTGTAAAACCACATGAACATATAAAAAAAACATACGTCATAGATAAAATCAAGTGGAAGCGGCATTCTGAGATCAAGAAGAGTAATGCCTCTAGCATTGACAGTGGTGCAGGCGGCCAGGTACGGTAAAGATGGGTGTACAATGAGTGGCTGTCGAACATCAACTGGACTTGCACAGTTGTCATATGCCAGCAAGGGAGTCCCTTTTTCTATATCCACAATGTTCACTTTCCGAGACACAGAAGTAGTGATGGCCTGTCAAAAAAGTGGAAAGTTAACAATATGGAGGCAAAGTGAACAATTTTGGAATACTTTTAAATATAGCAACAAAGTTATGAAAAATGTATTCTTCAGGGTTATTTAAAGTGAAATAAACAAATTCAAACACCAACTCCACTATTTCTTGTTCACTTTGCAACAGCAATCTGATAAAACCATAAAAATCCCTACTTAGAATCAAATCAGTTTCAATTTGACACTACAGTATAGCAGACTGCATTAAGAAAATAATTATAATACAGTATTATGAATCAAATCTGTACCTGATGTACCATTCCTATTCAGAAACTCCATACAGGCAGTCCAATTTCGGAATGGGATGCATTCCGAGAAGGCATTCGTAAGTTGGCCGCTCGTAACTATGAATCAGATTTCTTGGAGAAGCAATGCTATAATGTATGAAATGCCTCTTTCTGGTTGGTTCTTGGTGGCTTCCTGTAGCTAGTCACACAGAAATACACCATAAACGAGTCACATTCATGCTAGGAGTTTCTAATAGCCTACCGGAGACCAGAGCCAAAACCTGGTCCCCTATCACAGAAGCACAGGGACCAGGGTATTGATAAGGTTTCCTTGGTGAGAGTGACTAAAGAAAATAAGTGAAGCAAAATAGACAATGCAATGTTCATAGAAATAAGAACTGAAGCAGCAAACAAATCCACAAATGATCCACCCATTAGACAGTTCAAACCATCCTAGTTTCAACAGACCACTGACAGGTGTCAGCACCACTTGGAGCTGCTGGCTTCCCAAGTCAACATTCCTCAGTTCATAGTCCAAAATGATAAACCCCGACACACCTGCTACGGGAAGGACGGACCAGAGAGTCACCGAGTCTCAATCGAAGAGATATTTCATAACATTCAATGCTAATTTTCTGGAGGAGCCAAAGTGTGGCCACTTGTTCCTAACTAATAACAGATTAGAAAACCGGGATTTAATAGGGAAGAGGAGAGCGATGCTCACACCCTCAAAAAGGAGAAACCAGGATGGGAAACCCAAACCAAAGCAACACAAACCCAACTGGGAACCGGAATCAGGTAGAGAGAAAGACCTGGGGTTTGATATCACAGTGAATCCGTCTCCCGAAGCTCACATCAATCAGTGGGTTGGCCAAAAAGAAATGCCTTTAGAAACTTGTGCAAGGAATCATAAGGAACATTGTATACTACATATGTTCAATTCTGGAGTATGCAACTCCAGCATTGAAGCCATATCTAGTCAAACATAAGACAAAGTTAGACAAAGTAAAAAAAAAAATGTTACCAGACTAGTCCCAAAGCCGAAAGGTATGAGTTAAGAGGAAAGGCTATTGGAATTCAACCTTATATCATTGAAAGACAAGAAGAGTTGGGGGAAACATGATTACCACCTACAAAATTTTGAAAGAAATTGACAGGTAGATAAAGACAGACTATTTAGCAGGGGATTCATTAATAAGGGGAACACAGGTATAAACATAGTAACCAAATGAGCCACAGTAATATTAGAAAGAATTTTTTCCAGTGTCAGAGTAGTTAACAAATGGAATGCACTAGGAAGTGATGTGGTGGAGTCTAGAGGCAGACTTCGTACATCTCTTCAAATGTAGATATGATAAAAGCCCAATAGGCTCAGGAACCTGTACATTAGTTAATTCAAGGTTGAGAGGCAGGACCAAAGAGCCAAAGCTCAACTCTCTCAAGCACAACTAGGCAAGTAACTAATACTGTACTATCAATTTGGGTTTTTCCCGTCATCAAAAATATAATCCTTACCTTCGAGCCATCTGGAGAGAAATTGAGTGCGTTGATGGCTCGTGCAAGACTGAGTGAACCGAGGGGAACCGAGCGTACTATCTCTCCTCGTAAAGCATTGACTACTGTTATCTCTCCTTCACTACCTCCAAATGCGAATGCATATCGATCCTGCAAATAGATTATAAAATGATACATGGCACAGAAGGTAATAGAAACATCTAACAACTCTGCAGCATTCCCTAATATGCTCATAGCAAAATTATATTTTAAGAAAAATAAGTGTAGAATATTAGTCATGATTCTGAAAACATTACAAGGTGTGGCTACCTGATCAAGCAGGCTATGGCTTGTTGATATCGATATCACTGATATTGATATCAATAAGTTTATATCGATATCAACATACGGAGAAGGAAAGATTTTGGCCACAGTAACTACATTATAATTATACAGTAATTTAAATACCAAAGCCTACTAACGAATGAATGAATGAATAAACGAATGGGTTGAATGAATAGCAAAACAATTTCTACATGCTTAGACCTACAGTACTTACCTATGGATTACTAGTTATATAAAAAGTAATCCTAGTAGGAATATAGAGCCTACTTATCTGCAAGCTGAAGAGACAGCAACTAATATTTTCATACATACTAACCTAAATAAATACACAGCAATTACTATCACTAATTATGTACCGTATCTTTCTGACCTTTGGATGGAATGTACAGCAGGTGGGAATATTGTTCTTCTGTTGTATAAACTGCACACTGCCCTCCTCCTCCATCCTACTGCAGATAACGCCACCAGAACTACCATCACCACCACCACACCGTGAATGCAGTTTCTTCCTCGTCACAGCTGACACACCATTATAACCATCTTTATCTGCTACAAAATGAAAAGCTAATTTAAAAGTGCAAAACATTTGTAAACTATGTACTATGTCACTAAATGTAATACAAATATTAAACTGTAACTAAAGAAGCGTGGTAAACAAGAAAGCTAATTAACAAATCAGGTCAGATTTTCATGACAACTTATGGCAGCCTTAGCCTTTCTGCCTTAGAATTACTGTACCGTATGGTGAAAACAAACACTTCACGGATTCATGCAGCTTGAATATGAGCTTTGTATATTATACATGTGCCCAGTATGCATCAGTTTTTTCACACCCAAAAATAACTGTAGTCAAATTAAACAACGTGAACTCTGATTACGATAGGTTAAGAGCGCTGTACGTCTCATCTTATGAAGCAGCAGAGTGCTGATCGAGTAGAGTGGTACTCGTTTCTCTGATGTTATGCAGCATTTATGATATGATGAACGGAAGAAATGTTATTTATAATATCTGCAACTTTCTTTCCAAATATTGCTCCTCTTTTTTTCACATACGAAAGTGAAAAATAAAGTACAGTAATAACATTGATGATATTATATTAGTGGTGAAGATAGTATTGTACTATAGTATATGCAAATGTATCTCAAGGTAGGAGGAGATGAATGCCCCCTCCCAAAAAAAAAAGATGAGCAGGTATGATGAGCGACGAGACATGATATGCATGTGAAAATCTATGTATGCGAAGAAGCTGAAATATCCCAATGTATTTGTTATACAGTATGTACATAAGTGGAGTTTTAAGAAATATTTCTAATGTCTTCCACAATAAAACCTCAACTGATCTACTAATTTCCATCCAAAATAAACTCTTCCCTGTTATACTTTAGAAACAGGAAATTATCCAAGAACTCTGGAATTTTATCCAGGAATTTTAAACACATACAAATTTAGTACACCATGAAAAAAAACCTTCTGCAAAATACCAGCATGCCACAAATTAAACTGCCATCTTTCTTTCCTAAGTTCAGAGACATTATGCAAAGCCGCCATGTTCAAGTACTTTAAACATATCATTCAACATAATAAATGTTTATGAGAGTATGACTGCCTGGAGTGTTTATAATGTCTTATTTCCTATTCAACTCCATTTAAACAGTGCCTGTTAGGGAAATGCATCAACAATTCCTGACATTTCAAATATTTTCTTTGTACTGAAAGGAAAATACATAAAACCCTTGACATTATACAATGAAAAGGTGTGGTGTAGAGGACAATGAGAGTCACACGGAAATTCAAGATAAGCATCACTGGGTCTCAAGTTAAACAGTAATTGGATGAGGTGACCTTAGCTTGAAGGATATTATCTTGAGGTTATCTTGAGATGATTTCAGGGCTTAGCGTCCCCACGGCCCGGTCCTCGGCCAGGCTGTTAGGCGCCTCTTAGGATAGGATCACTTAGGATAGTGATAAGCCTAAAATGAATCATATCTCCAACAATAACAAAATATACCAGCATATAAAGGCCTATACTGGCATGCCAAAAGAAACTATGACTTTCCTAAAACAAATCTATTAAACAAACTATTACAACCTAATTTATACATATAATTCTCTGTCAAGGACAGGTAGCCTGTTTATATATATATATACATTATTCTTATTTGAGGCCGCCCCCAGAGTGAACTACTGACCCTTCCCAGGATGCATCAGTTGACTACCTCACAGGTACCTATTTACTGCTAGGTGAACAGCGGCATTAGGTGATATGCAACATGCCTAACCATTTCTGTCCTGACCAGGATTTGTACCCGAGATTCCCAACTGCCGGTCAAGAACGAACCGAACCGTACTACCAAGACCCCAAATATCCGTAAGAGGTATATAGGCAAGAAAAGGCTAGAAAATGCAACTACGTACAACATTTTGAATAATTAAACAAAAAACTTCTCCCATGCCAAAATAATAACCTTTTATTATTTAAAATATATTATTCTAGAGATTATTATATATATATATATATATATATATATATATATATATATATATATATATATATATATATATATATATATATATATATATATATATATATATATATATATATATATATATATATATATATATATATATAATCAAAACTTGCCCATTACACGAGGGCGTCACTAACTACCCTTCTGACTCCAATTGACTAAAAGATTGAGAGCCGGGACCCTAGAGCTGAAGCACCCTCAAGCACACAGCTAGGCGAGTACTCAACAAACCACCACCAACAGTACCCTCAAATGTTCAAACCACTCATTCACCTGACACACCTGTTCACCCCGTGTTCACACTTGAGCGGCAGTGTTCACTTCAAGCCGTGTGGTGCTAGAGGAGTATAGTGTGGGTGCAGGCAAGGGTCTCCTCCTCCTCCTCGGCCAGGCACCAACCAGATATTTTCCTCCAAATCAAAACAAGCAATGAGGTGGTTCTTGTAGCTGAGGTGTTTGGGGCCGCCAGCCGCTGGTCGTGCCTTTAGCCTTTCTCACTCACCCACTCACTCATATCTTCATGTCGTTTACTATCTAATTAACTTATAAAATAAAACAAAATAAAATAAATAATAATTTATAATTCATTTGGATAGAAACTATGCTTAAAAAAAATATATACGTAAGATAGATGTTGTAATATTATTTTAAAAGCACTAATATTTACATACATTTCTGCGGCCGTTCGCTCAAAGACTAAGACTGATTTATACGGATTTCAATATTGAAAAATACTAGATAACAATACAATTTGTTTTCGCATTTTCAAACTTGTACTTTACCTCACTTTATATTTTCTTAGCAGAAAAGACTAATATATACAATACATTTACAATATCTACACATTAAACCTGCCTCCAGAAAATATGCCTATATTAATAGTGAAATCATGGAGTCTACAATTCAAGTAACAATACAGTAGTTTATTTACGTTACTAACATAATGAAAACACTAAGGGGTAATTTAGAAAAATGACGAACATAACATAACAGAGTATAATAGTATAATTTAACTTTAATGGAGCCTATTCTCATTTCCTTCAGTTCAACAGTTCTTTACTTCCAATGGGACGGTAAAACCACTCTGGGGCCATATTGAGGCGCCATTTAAGAAACTAGGCTCACAAAAAGAGGAACACACTGCCACTCAAAGGCAGAAAGCACTAATATTAAGTTATGGCCACAACTGGTGGTTTAACATAGTACACAATATTGCTGTTCCTGCTACATAACCACTGTAACATGCTCCCTTGTATATTTTACGAATAAAATATTGTATGTTATGAGCAGCGTAGATTATCCAGCAGACAGTATGACAAAGTAATGACCAGTCTTAGGCTGGGGGTATTGATTAATTATATGGTCACGAATATCTCAACACGCCTTAGCACTTCCAATATAAACTGTGTGAGAAAACAATGACCTACTCTTTAACATTAATGAATGCCCAATACTGAAATGGGGTATATGAACATATAAACTATGTGATTTACTCATTATAAAAAGACTAAGCACGTATGGCTATATACATCATCCTTGTTAGAGGATATTCAAGAGATCATAGATACGATTCATCATGCCAATACGAGAGCAGAAAGACCCAAGTCCAGTGACATCAGAGGTCACTGAGAGACACGTTCAGCATGGGGACAGTGGGACAGCAAAATGTCCTCCCATCTTGAAAATCAAGACATCCTACTAGGACAGGCCTTTCATTCACTCGAGGATATTAGAAAATACCCCACAATGTCTATCCAATGTTTCCCAATACAAACAATAGAGTCTGGACTGACATCTGAATGATAAGCCACCCTGAGACGGCTGTAATGGGTTAATGTCCTCTACCCTCATATAGGTAGAAGCAGTGCTGTCTAGTGTCGCTAACTTGTTTGTTAAAAGAAACGCTAATATAGAATAAGGAAGCAGCACATTGCTGTGTACCTAAGCTTCTTAATAACAAGCTTCTTAATAACTTCTTCGCCTGGCGTTCCGCGAGCGCTATGTCATGGGTTCGTATCCTGGCCGGGGAGGATTTACTGGGCGCAATTCCTTAACTGTAGCCTCTGTTTAACGCAACAGTAAAATGTGTACTTGGATGAAAAAACGATTCTTCGCGGCAGGGGATCGTATTCCAGGGACTTGCCCGAAACGCTACGCGTACTAGTGGCTGTACAAGAATGTAACAACTCTTGTATATATCTCAAAAAAAAAAAAAAAAAAAAAAACAAGAAATTTATATATTTTGCGAGATCTTTTGACCGTATTACGTGACATGAGAAAACCCCCAACGCAAAAAAACAAATTAATAATAAAAATAGAATAATTCCCTACATAAGAATAAATAACAAATATATGAAATCCATTGAAACACTTTCAAAAATTATTCAAAACAAAAGACGACCGTCGGCCATGTTGTTGCCATGGTTACGGTGGATGTAAACAAACAGAGCGGCCTCCTACACACCACCCACACCAGAGCACAACTTGTGGACCTCCTGTAAGTTAACATATTTAGTGCTCTATGTAATGATACACTAAATGACTTCGGAGCGAGTTATTGGCTTTGCGACAATATACCAATTAATCATTAAAATCTGAAATAATAACCCAGAGTGCTTAAGCTTGTATATAAATAACATAAATGCTACTTACTACCACTACTGCTTATTATAATAATAATAATAATAATAATAATAATAATAAATCACAGTGATACAAAGCGATGCGCTCGAACCTATCAAGAGAGAGAGAGGGAGAGGGAGAGAGGGAGAGGGAGAGGGAGAGGGAGAGAGGGAGAGGGAGAGAGGGAGAGGGAGAGAGGGGGAGAGGGGGAGAGAGAGAGGGGGAAAGAGAGAGGGGGAGAGAGAGAGAGACAGACAGACAAAGAGAGACAGAGACAAAGAGAGAGAGAGACAGACAGAGAGGGAGCAATGTATATGAATGCAATGAGATACAAGATAATAAACAAAACATACCAATAAGATGAGTGGCGAGCCTGGAGCTGGACTCACATGTATCCTGTGGACAGGTGGCGGTGACGGGCGGGCCGGGAATGGCGATGGGTGGAGGAGCTCCTCCTGGAATGGGTGGCCAGGCAGCGAGGAACCTAGAGGAGAGCCATGTACTGGAGGAGGCAGCGAGGCAGGATACCCGCATCGTGGAGGACCGAGTGTGGCAGCACCTGGCCAGCGTTCCCTGCCTCGACCATGTGCACACAGAGCCAGCTATCGTGCCTCAGACTGTAGCCACCTGGTCGCCGCCCAGAGGTCAGTCTGACCTCGGTCAAATTGCTGAAAGTAGCGAATTTGTAATAAGAGTAGCCCAATTGTTTTGTTTAGTGACTCATGCGGGTTTCAAAGTAATATATTTTGATATATAGAGTATACTACACGATGGTAATTGTTAATATTATTTCTGCACAGACACTATATATATATATATATATATATATATATATATATATATATATATATATATATATATATATATATATATATATATATATATATATATATATGCGAACAAGCCTGAATGGTCCCCAGGACTATATGCAACTGATATATTCAGGGGTGTGAGTTTTCAGTTATATATATATATACATATATATATATATATATATATATATATATATATATATATATATAATTAAAATAAAATAATAGGATAAGTTACCAATATTTACTGTATGAAGTATAATGGGTGTAGAGTCCTTCCACGTCTTCCCAATTGTAGATTATCAAGAAGATCTTCGATCAAAAACGCAATTATAAAACACACATATGCGCTGGCGTGTGTTCGCTTCAGTTCTCGTCTGCAAGATAATAAAATGTCCAATAGAAATTGAGAACAAGTTAAAATTGTGAATAATAAGATGGCACATGAATGTATTATATTATAATACAAAAATATTTTTCAGATATGCGAGGCGATTTATCCTTATACAATTGAATGACTTAAATAAGTTTGTCTTAACATCTTTCATACTGCAAAATCATATCAAAATATCAACACTAAAATCATTGTAGCCCGAAACGCTGTGTGTATTAGTGGCTTTAGGCATAGTATGTCCTAGCTTTGTCTAGAAGCCTAACATTCTGCTTGTAACTTTTTGAATGTATTTACTTTTACTTGAATAAACATTATTATTATACAGATAATAAATGTGGGCTGACGTGCTAAGCGCACTGCTTATAATGTTGTATATCTTATTATCTATCAGGGATTGCTTTGTCTCTTATTACAGAAGGAATAGACTCAAGATGGTGCAAACAATACAACTGCAATAATCTATTGGATTACTTGCAATGTTTGCAACTATACAGTAGTTGCACATTGCCTTTATTTTTTGCCGCCAGAGGTGGATAGTTCATTAAGCATCCCCTATCCAACCAGTGAGTGGTAGTTTATTGTGCACCCCGAAGCCCGACCAGTTATTTAACCGGAGCCCGACCAGTTATTTAACCGGAGCCCGACCAGATATTTAACCGGAGCCCGACCAGTTATTTAACCGGAGCCCGACCAGATATTTAACCGGAGCCCGACCAGATATTTAACCGGAGCCCGACCAGATATTTAACCGGAGCCCGACCAGATATTTAACCGGAGCCCGACCAGATATTTAACCGGAGCCCGACCAGTTGTGTAACCACAAGCCTAGCATGAGCGAACCGAACAAAAAAACATTTGAAGCACAACCATGCACGAACCGAAGCCCGACCATGCACAACCCACAGCCCAAGTGACACCCCCGGAGCCCGACCGGTTATTTAACCGGAGCCCGACCAGTTGTGTAACCGAAGCACACAAGTTGTGTAACCGGACCCCGACCAGTTGTGTAGTCGCAAGCCTAGCATGAACGAACCGAACAAAAAACATCTGAAGCACAACCATGCACAAACCGAAGCCCGACCATGCACAACCCTTAGCCCTAGTGACACCCCCGGAGCCCGACCAGTTAAGTAACCGGAGCCCGACCAGTTATTTAACCGGAGCCCGACCAGTTATTTAACCGGAGCCCGACCAGTTGTGTAACCAGACCCCGACCAGTTGTGTAACCAGACCCCGACCAGTTGTGTAACCAGACCCCGACCAGTTGTGTAACCAGACCCCGACCAGTTGTGTAACCAGACCCCGACCAGTTGTGTAACCAGACCCCGACCAGTTGTGTAACCACAAACCTAGCATAAATGAACCAAACAAACAATTCAAAACAAACAACATTAAACAAAAAACATCTGAAGCACAACCATGCACAAACCGAAGCCCGACCATGCACAACCCTTAGCCCAAGTGACACCCCCGGAGCCCGACCAGTTAAGTAACCGGAGCCCGACCAGTTATTTAACCGGAGCCCGACCAGTTATTTAACCGGAGCCCGACCAGTTGTGTAACCGAAGCCCCACCAGTTGTGTAACCGGACCCCGACCAGTTGTGTAACCGCAAGCCTAGTATGTACGAACCGAACAAAAAACATCTGAAGCACAACCATGCACGAACCGAAGCCCGAGTGACACCCCTGGAGCTCGGCCAGTTGTGTAACCGGAGCCCGACCAGTTGAGTAACCGGAGCCCGACCAGTTGAGTAACCAGAGCCCGACCAGTTGAGTAACCGGAAGCCTAGCATGAACGAACCGAACAAAAAACATCTGAAGCACAACCATGCACGAACCGAAGCCCGACCATGCACAACCCTTAGCCCAAGTGACACCCCCGGAGCCCGACCAGTTATTTAACCGGAGCCCGACCAGTTGTGTAACCGAAGCCCCACAAGTTGTGTAACCGGACCCCGACCAGTTGTGTAACCGCAAGCCTAGCATGAACGAACCGACCAAAAAACCTCTGTAGCACAACCATGCACGAATCAAAGCCCGACCATGCACAACCCACAGCCCAAGTGACACCCCCGGAGCCCGACCAGTTATTTAACCGGAGCCCGACCAGTTATTTAACCGGAGCCCGACCAGATATTTAACCGGAGCCCGACCAGTTGTGTAACCGAAGCACACAAGTTGTGTAACCGGACCCCGACCAGTTGTGTAGTCGCAAGCCTAGCATGAACGAACCGAACAAAAAACATCTGAAGCACAACCATGCACAAACCGAAGCCCGACCATGCACAACCCTTAGCCCTAGTGACACCCCCGGAGCCCGACCAGTTAAGTAACCGGAGCCCGACCAGTTATTTAACCGGAGCCCGACCAGTTATTTAACCGGAGCCCGACCAGTTGTGTAACCAGAGCCTGACCAGTTGTGTAACCAGACCCCGACCAGTTGTGTAACCAGACCCCGACCAGTTGTGTAACCAGACCCCGACCAGTTGTGTAACCAGACCCCGACCAGTTGTGTAACCAGACCCCGACCAGTTGTGTAACCAGACACCGACCAGTTGTGTAACCAGACACCGACCAGTTGTGTAACCAGACCCCGACCAGTTGTGTAACCAGACCCCGACTAGTTGTGTAACCAGACCCCGACCAGTTGTGTAACCAGACCCCGACCAGTTGTGTAACCACAAACCTAGCATAAATGAACCAAACAAACAATTCAAAACAAACAACATTAAACAAAAAACATCTGAAGCACAACCATGCACAAACCGAAGCCCGACCATGCACAACCCTTAGCCCAAGTGACACCCCCGGAGCCCGACCAGTTAAGTAACCGGAGCCCGACCAGTTATTTAACCGGAGCCCGACCAGTTATTTAACCGGAGCCCGACCAGTTGTGTAACCGAAGCCCCACCAGTTGTGTAACCGGACCCCGACCAGTTGTGTAACCGCAAGCCTAGCATGAACGAACCGAACAAAAAACCTCTGAAGCACAACCATGCACGAACCGAAGCCCGACCATGCACAACCCACAGGCCGAGTGACACCCCTGGAGCTCGACCAGTTGTGTAACCGGAGCCCGACCAGTTGAGTAACCGGAGCCCGACCAGTTGAGTAACCAGAGCCCGACCAGTTGAGTAACCGCAAGCCTAGCATGAACGAACCGAACAAAAAACATCTGAAGCACAACCATGCACGAACCGAAGCCCGACCATGCACAACCCTTAGCCCAAGTGACACCCCCGGAGCCCGACCAGTTATTTAACCGGAGCCCGACCAGTTGTGTAACCGAAGCCCCACAAGTTGTGTAACCGGGCCCCGACCAGTTGTGTAACCGCAAGCCTAGCATGAACGAACCGAACAAAAAACCACTGTAGCACAACCATGCACGAATCAAAGCCCGACCATGCACAACCCACAGCCCAAGTGACACCCCCGGAGCCCGACCAGTTATTTAACCGGAGCCCGACCAGTTGTGTAACCGAAGCCCAACCAGTTGTGTAACCGGACCCCGACCAGTTGTGTAACCGCAAGCCTAGCATGAACGAACCGAACAAAAAACACCTGAAGCACAACCATGCACAACCCAAAGCCCGAGTGACACCCCTGGAACTCGACCAGTTGTGTAACTGGAGCCCGACCAGTTGAGTAACCGGAGCCCGACCAGTTGAGTAACCAGAGCCCGACCAGTTGAGTAACCGCAAGCCTAGCATGAACGAACCGAACAAAAAACATCTGTAGCACAACCATGCACAAACCGAAGCCCGACCATGCACAACCCTTAGCCCAAGTGACACCCCCGGAGCCCGACCAGTTAAGTAACCGGAGCCCGACCAGTTATTTAACCGGAGCCCGACCAGTTATTTAACCGGAGCCCGACCAGTTGTGTAACCGAAGCCCCACCAGTTGTGTAACCGGACCCCGACCAGTTGTGTAACCGCAAGCCTAGTATGAACGAACCGAACAAAAAACATCTGAAGCACAACAATGCACGGACCGAAGCCCGACCATGCACAACCCAAAGCCCGAGTGACACCCCTGGAGCTTGACCAGTTGTGTAACTGGAGCCCGACCAGCTGAGTAACCGGAGCCCGACCAGTTGAGTAACCAGAGCCCGACCAGTTGAGTAACCGCAAGCCTAGCATGAACGAACCGAACAAAAAACATCTGTAGCACAACCATGCACGAATCAAAGCCCGACCATGCACAATCCACAGCCCAAGTGACACCCCCGGAGCCCCACCAGTTGTGTAACCGGACCCCGACCAGTTGTGTAACCGCAAGCCTAGCATGAACGAACCGAACAAAAAACCACTGTAGCACAACCATGCACGAATCAAAGCCCGACCATGCACAACCCACAGCCCAAGTGACACCCCCGGAGCCCGACCAGTTATTTAACCGGAGCCCGACCAGTTGTGTAACCGAAGCCCCACAAGTTGTGTAACCGGACCCCGACCAGTTGTGTAACCGCAAGCCTAGCATGAACGAACCGAACAAAAAACATCTGTAGCACAACCATGCACAACCCAAAGCCCGAGTGACACCCCTGGAGCTCGACCAGTTGTGTAACCGGGGCCCGACCAGTTGAGTAACCGGAGCCCGACCAGTTGAGTAACCGCAAGCCTTGCATGAGCGAACCGAACAAAAAACATCTGAAGCACAACAATGCACGGACCGAAGCCCGACCATGCACAACCCACAGCCCAAGTGACACCCCCGGAGCCCGACCATGCACAACCCACAGCCCAAGTGACACCCCCGGAGCCCGACCAGTTGAGTAACCGGAGCCCGACCAGTTGTGTAACCGGAGCCCGACCAGTTATTTAACCGGAGCCCGACCAGTTGTGTAACTGAAGCCTCACCAGTTGTGTAACCAGACCCCGACCAGTTGTGTAACCGCAAGCCTAGCAAGTATCACATGAGGCATAGCAATACACAACACAACTACCAAATCATCAACATTAGCTTGGAGTCAGAATCCA